AAAACAGTATTTAAGCACAGATCTGTTTAACGGTCTGCGTGCTGCCCACTATGGCACTAATGGAGCGAAAGCAATACTGAACAACTGCAGGAGCTTCACACTGCCACATACCAGCTTCTACTTGTCCACTGTCCTTATTCATGGTCTGCACCTTCCTGAGCCTTAGGACCAAATGAACAAAACAGCAACATGTTAAATAGTGTCTACACCCAGGGGGGTGATGCATACATATAATGCCTCCACTTAGGAAGCTGAGGCAGGAGGACTGTCAGTGAGTCCCAGGCTAGCCTGGGCTACATCACAAGATCTTGTCTCAAAAATAAAAATCAAGATATGCAAATGTCATCTGTGGCAATCTACATATTTATATGCATATCTCTATATCTATAGTTTTAATATTTGGCCCACACAACTGATACAACTAATCAAGAGACTGACTCCTAAACACAACCACCCACCCTTTGGCAGGATTAATTAGAAAAACTAAACATCCATCTTATTTGTTTTTTGAAAGACTTATTTAAATTTTCATTTTATATGTATATGTCAGTGCTTGCATGTGCTTATGTGCACCACATCACGTCCCAGAGCAGAAGGCGGCACTGGATCCAGTAGAACTGGAGTTACAGATGGTTGTCAGCCACCACGTGGGTGCTGGTAATCAAAGCTCAGTCCTCTGCAAAAGGAAGCATTCTTAACCACCGAGGCATCTCTCCAGCCCCTCAGCTTCTTTTGGAACAGACAGCATGTCTAGAAGACCCAATCAACATTATGCACTTAAACAGGTAGCACACACAGGTACAACATTAATTTGGATTTATGCTTCTCAGATGCACAAAGACTGAAAAACATGAGGAGAAAACAAGCACCAAAGTGTCTGATTCTTCTTGGCCTTAAGATGCTTCACGTCACTCCTCTCCACCACTCATGCCGGGCAGCACTGCCTATGGGCAGCTGTTTTATGCTTTCAACAACCAACTCTCCTAGCTGATCATCCACATCTGCGTCCCTTCATAAGTCAATAATCTATGCCAGCTGTTTTCCAAAAATAAGCATTAGGAAGGCACCAGAGCAGATTCAAATATAGATTCTGTTGGCTGCACAGTTTTCCACCTTTTCTTAGCTCAACTGGGGCTTTACCATCATCATGCTGAGCAGGAAACTTGAAGGAGTAAACTACTGTTCTCAAATTTTCCCTTTTTGGATACTCAGGGCAGAACTGCTAAAAAAAAAACCTGCATACATGAGACCAACGCTGTACACTAAGAAGATATTAAAGGCTAAGGCAAACAACATCTACACCATTTCGCTGGTCTTAAAGTCTCAATGCTTATTATATTCTGACACAGTGATGATTAATGCTGATGCTTTGATGCAAGAACTCAAGGCTTCCACAGCCACTGAAAAATTATTAAACTCAGTGAAAAGATAAAAGTCAATGAAAAATGGTATAATAAAGCTTAACTTTCCAGCTTCTTGACTGTCAGATTTTGTAATAAAAATGTATCTAAATTTTATAAATCAACATAAATCTTTGGGACAAAGAGAAATAGATTGCTTACTGAAACCACTTAAACAGGGCAGAATACATCTATAACCAACAAAAGAAATGTGTCCTGAAAAGATTTAAAGTTTGGTTCTTGAGTATAAACTTAGGATAAAAAGGCTGTACTACTTCCTGTGGCAATTTCTTCGTGGAGACAGTGTATTTTTAGGTAAATAATCCCTCCTTAATGTGTGGCAAAGCATTAAAGAAGAAGGAATTAGTAGCCTTATTCATGGAGTGTTAGTGCTTTCTAAACTTCCTATCACTTCTAATAAAAACATATGTTCTAGATCATATAATTTGTAAGCTGAAATTCAAACTGACCTCTTCCAGAACTAAACCTTATGATCTTCATTCTGAAGCTGCCCTCAGTCACAAAGGATAAGAATATGTACTATGCATTATACGCAAAAAATTCAAGAAGAGATTATCCATCTATTTCCAAAAGAACTTCAAAAATGTCACACACAAATGATACTGCTGACTTCCACTACCAAAAATGTGGAACTAGATCAAAGAATGCTTTCCATGCTAAGTTTTCATGTCACTTTATGATGGTCCAGTGTTCCCCAACACCATCCCACTAGGCCCATTTCTTTGGCACTCATGAGCTCCAAAATTATACAAAGAAAATTATAAAGCAACACATACTGATGCTTTAATCAGTCATAGAATCTTAAAAAGGTATGTAAAAATATGGTACACAGTGGAAAATATTTCCTAAAAATGGCAGTCATATGAAGTGCACTTTACAATGAAAACTTCTAATCTTACTGCGTATTAACTCAAAATAAAAACAAATCTCACATATCTTGACTATTTGTTTAAAGATGTCCTATTGAATAGATTTCTGTTCCATACCCAGGACCACTGTGGACACTGACTTTCAAAACATTAGTGTGGAGAAACAGTCATATTAAAAAGCTCATAGCTCCTCTTTAATGGAGTCAGTGTTTCTCCTTCTCTGTGAGGATTCCAACTTCTCTGCCAGGGACATCTTCTTAACTTATTCCCATTTACCTGCTACATCCTATGTGACAAGCACTGTGACATGGATTTCACATTTCCTTATTCTTTTATATAGGTCTGTAAAGCAGGTATTATTACATCATTCCTATTTTACAGAAACAGAAAAGTGGCAATTACATCAAGTTATTTTGCTCACAAGTGACAACAGATTCCAACTCTGATGCATTTGACCTTGAGATCCTTATCTTAGCCACTAAATTAGCAGAATCAGACTCTAATCTCAAACCCCCATTTTATAAATGAAGATGCTTTAACCCCAAGAGTTTAAGTTGTGCATTTAAGGTCATATCTTGACTACTGGCATAGTCAGGGCAAAACTCCAAGACTTGCTTCCCTATGCTTCATTTACTACCCCATATTTCCTTGTTCTAAAATTCGAGAATAGAAAAACATTGTGATTTCCTACACTAATAAGAATTTCTATAAATTGCCAATGTGACTGATTTGGTGATACCCAGGATACCCTCCCTGATTACTTTGGAGCCTCAAAAAACCACCATCCCTATATCTGTGTCTGATTTAGAATAATCTATCTTTTTACAACCCAAGCGCCAATATAATCCACAATTTACTAAGAGTTCTTCCTGTGAATGGACCCACTGTATTTTTCCCCATACATTTAAATTATGAATGAATAGTGATCATTATTCAATGTGTTTATTTTCTAAACTGGTCACATATTAATTAAACTGAAAAGCCTGGCTGGGGTCAAAACTGTCCTCAATATTTCTTGAGCTATGAGGTGATTCCAATAGTCTTCAAACTGCATCAAGTTTGAGAAGCAGAGCTTTAATCACTTAATCATTTAATCATAATAGTTTAAAATAGTATTTCAGACAGTATTAGATCAATAGAGCTAAACTAATACAATCTCTAACATTTTTATTTTTTTATTATTTTCACTTTATGTGTATGAGTGTATTGCCTACATGTATTTTTATCTACTATATTAATCCATCATCCTCAAATTTAAAAAAAAAAAAAATTAAGGATATTTCCAAAAACAAAATCTATCAGAGAACATCATCAACTTTAGTTACTTAACAGGCCTCCTTTTTTTTTGGTCTTTTTGAGACACGGTCTCCCTGTAGCCCCACCTGTCCTGGAACTCACTATGTAGACCAGGCTGGCCTTGAACTCACAGAGATCCGCCTGCCTCCGCCTGCCTCTGCCTCTGCTGGGATTAAAGGCATGTGCCACCACACCCGGCCCCAAAAGGCCTCCTTTTACATAGAGCTATACAGAAATCCTTGAACACACACCACACACACACAAATCTGAACCGCCTGCCACAGTGAGCTCATACCCAGAAACACATGTTGTGGTGGATTGAATGAGAATGTCCCCCGTGGGCTCCAAGTATTTGGACATTTTGTCCCCAGGTACTAGGGTAGGGAGGTCTTAGAAGGTGTGGTCATGCTGGAGGAAGCAAATCACTGGGGGCCAGCTTAGAGAGTTCTTAAGCCTTGCCAGGTCCCCAGTCCTTCTCTTGCTTCCTGTGCCTGCTTGAAGAAGTGAGTGCTTAGCTTCTGCTCCTTCTCTAGCCACCTCTGCTGCCATGTCTCCCCACCATGATAGACTCTTGCCCCTTTGGATCCATAAGCGCAAATAAACTCTTCCTTTTATAAGTTTCCTTGGTCATGGTGTTTCTATCGCAACAGAAAAGTACTAATATACATGTCCGCTGCTGCTCCTCTTCATGTCATCTCACAGTGATAACCTTATCATGGTGCCCAGCAGCACAAAGGAAGTTATCCTGTGAGTTTTTTCGCTAAAGATAATACAAAGAGATTCCTCCTTGATTTACATGATTGTTAAATGAAAACTGTTTGCCTTTTATAAGCATGTTTAACTATCAAATGTCTTCAGTACTATAACAGAAGATACTGTGACTGATTGAGGGGTCATGCGTCCAATCATGAGAGGATTTTCAATCATTATACATAAGAAAAATATAATCAACATACAATGAAATTCTTCCTTGTTCTTTCTAGTTATAAAATAGTAGTTGTAATAAATATTTGTTATTCCTTAGATTCATCAGATTATAAATGACCCAGTTTTTAAATCTTCTAACTTTCTCTAGGGAAAATCCTTTTGTAGCTCTAACATAACCTATCATCAGTTCCAACTACATAGTCAACACTGAATACTTCTCAATTAAAATTTGGGCTGGATATGGTATCTTCACACCTGTGGTCTCAGCACTTGGGAGGCTAATGCAGGAGAACTGCAAGGAGTTCAGGGTCAGCCTGGGCTACAGAGAAGATACTGTCTCAAAAAAACAGAAAAATTGGTTCTACCAAGAAAAGAACAGAAAATATTCATCTTTGGAAACTATTGCACTCTCATAGAAATCTGGGGTTTTTTCTTAATATTTTAAAAATATTCTAACCCAATGTAATTCAGAAAAATATCTACTTACAGGTATCATCCAGTTGGCCAGGTCACCATATTTGGAAACCTGCATTGCTCCTAGCATTGTTAGATTGACATGTCCCCTGGGAAAGAAAAAAAAAAAAAGCACAAAGGAAACGTCACAAGCTTTATTACCCCTTTTGCCCAAAAGCATCAGCAATTAAAATAATGCTATGCCCCCAAATAAATCTGCTTTCGGCTTGCTCCCTGCAACCGATTTCTAAATAGATCAACTCAAAGTTAATGCAGAGAAATAACCATTGAAAGTTCTTTTAAAAACATTATAGCCTATATTTTCTCCAAAACAAACTAAACGCAGGTGTGCACAGTGAAGTTTGTTTCCTCAATGAGGAAGAATGTGATTCATTTTGAAGACAAACTGTAGCTGAAAAGTGAGCCCACAGTTTGAAGAAATGTTGGGATACCTTAGAAATGTTATTTCAATCTAGCTGGCACAAAGACATGTATTCCATGTGGGGGTTCTCTTCAAAACAGTGGGCTGGAGAGCTCTAAGCCCAGCCTTCAGCAGGAATAATTCCAATGAACAAACCCTGAGCATTTACTAGGACTGTGGGAAATGGAACTGTGCCTCAGAGCTCACAGGCTCAGGGGATGACTCAGTCCACTCCACACCATGTGAATACGAGGGGCTACGTTATTACATACCCTCTAATCATTGCGAATGACTCATCGCTGGAGAAAAAAGAGGCTCCTGGAAGAACAGTAACTGTTTCCTTTCCTAAACACACACACACACAAAAACAAAAAGGGGGAGGAAAGGACTGTTAGATTTCTGAGAGCACCATCATGGACAGAGAGATCAGCACCATCTCTGCTTCAAAAAATCTTTAAGATTCCTTCACTAACATGCAGCTGCACATAGGAAAGGGTGACATAGTAAGGAAAGGTATACCCTGAAAAGGTACACTTTGCTGACCTTTGTTTCTCATTGCCCCTGCAAAGTGATAAAAATCAACTTTATGGAACTACTACCTGAAAATTCTATATAGGTGAAGCATTCCACTATTGCCTCATCTGTCCAGTTGTATCACTCAGTCCCTTTGCTTCATGAATCACTGGAAAAAGTTAATGGGAATAAGGAGGAAGCTCTGAATGACACCTGTCTAAACCTAAACTCCTGTAAGTTACCAGACATACAGGTGAAAACAGCATGTCCTGAGGAAATGGGCTTTTGAGAAGAGGGGTACGGAAGATGCCCTTCAGTGTTCCTGATTACTCATAAAAGATTAAGGCATTCTGAGGATCTAAAAGGACAGCACAGTGGCTACAGACAACAACACTGTATTGAATACTTGAAATATACTTTGAGAGGAAATCTTAGATATTCTCACCACAGAGAAAAGACTGATAAATGGGTATTCATTTGATATTAATCATTTTGCAATACAGAAATAATCAAACCGACATATCAAATGTTACACATTGAATAGATACAAATTTTTATTTCTCAATTATGCCTTAATAATGCTGGGGATAAAATAAAAATCAGTGAACAGTACAGAAAGGACCTACCTAGCTCTTTATTAAGCTTGACCTTTCCCCATCCTCTTTCACACACACATGCACGCATGCACTTTTATTCTCTGGCTCCTATAACATATAAGCTTCTGCCAAATCACAGAACTTTCATGAAATCAGAAAATAGTATTTAGCATATACAATTCTAACTTCTAAGAGATCCTTTTGGAAAAACTTCTAAAATTTACATATTGTTATAGAAGTTCAAAGCTGGAAAAGTCTTTGCATTTAGCTGATCTGGTGGCACAAGCCTATAATCCCAGCACTCAGGAGGCTGAGGCAGGAGGATCACCACAAGTTTGAGGCCAGTCTAACCTACACAGTGAATTCCAGCCCAATCTGGGCTACAGAGTGGGACCTTGTCTCAAAATAATGTTTAAAAATTAGAAACTTCAAATCTATCCATTTAATAACAGCGAAAACTGTCAGTTGACTTGCTCAGACTCAAGCTGCTTGTCTTATAAAGTGTTTTCTATCTCTTTCAGAATTTCAGAAACATCTTATGTTCTCCACCAGAAAAGTGTTCACATGCCATCATACCAAAGGTAAGTCAACCGCCTGAGAACTCTCCATGCATGGCCCCAATGTAGGAAGGTAGATGACAAGAGGAAGAAGAGCTATGATTACAAGGTCAGAATTCAGAAAAGCTGAGCCACATCAGGAGCAAACAAGGTCTGACCATCCCCAGCTATGCACCACAGCCACAGCAGCAGCTTCTCAAGTGTTGCGGAAAGCTAACTCTTCCATCAATATCCCCCACTTCTGCTCAAGTATGGAAGGAGAGTAAACCTATTTATATCACTCTGAAATATTTATTGCCCAAGGGAGTTTGATTCTAAATAATGGAAACATTTTCTATCTACCAAAGTACCATAAAACTGAAAAGCTTTGGAGGATACTTTCTGGCATTGTTAGAAGTGGTCTAGCAGAACTTAAGACCTGGTCTGCAGGACTAAGTGAGATGGTATGTGTGAAGTCCTTCCTCTAGGGCCTGGCACTGAGCAAGAGCTCCACAAGCATTTGCTTTCTCCATTCTCATTATCACTACTCTCTCCTCACCACTTAGAAAAGAGGGAAAGCCACTGCTCCTCTAGGGATAAATGCACAGGGCCTGAAGTGGCATATACAGCTCTTGGCCGGTCTATGCATGTTCTAAATTTTAGGACATGCACAATACAGCTGGTTCTTATCAAACACAATTTCTCTGTCCAACAAAACCAGATCCTCAGCAGTTCTGTGAGGTGGAGACTCAAGAAGGAAGACTATGGAGAATAAGAAAGAAGAAAAAGTAACACACCAATTCTTTGTTTTCTAGGTATCAAATTCCAGTGACTTCTGAAAGGCACTCTCCATTGACTGATAGTAGACACAAGGTGTTACTCAGTACTCTGCAGGAAATTTTGAGACTAAGGAGGAGAGTCTGATTCTCCCTGTATGACTTACAAAGGGTAATTTTATTTAAAAGCCTGGAAAACAACCCATGGATTAGTTTTCAGGCCCCTTCTAACAATAAATTACATTCTTTTGAAGTACAGTTAACTACTCATATTTTTATGTATTTGTATTTATTTATTTAAATTATTTTGTCTGTCTTAGGGGCTAGAGAGACGTCTCAGTGATTAAGAACACTGATGGCCCTTGCAGAGAACCCAGGTTTGATTCCCAGCACCCACATGGTGGTTAACAACCATCCTTAACTCCAGTTCCAGGGGATCCAATGCCCTCTTCTGACCTCCAGGGGCAGTGCACAACATGGGTGCACTTACATGCAGGCAATACAATCATATACATAATAAAGATAAAAAAGATTTTAAATTATTTTGTCTGTATGTGTGCATGAGGTCAGAGGATAATTCTAGGGAGTTGTTTCCCTCCTGACACCTTGTAGGATTAAACTCAGATTATCAGGCCTGCATAAAAGCACCTCTACACACTGAACCACCTCATAGCGAGATTTTTATTTTTAATTTGCTATGTAAAAGTAAAACTGTACATGTTTATGGGGTTTAATATGATCTTTCCATGAATGTATATACTATGAATTTTTCAAATCAGGAGACACATTTCTATTTCTTCTAACACTGATCCTTTATGAAAACATACAGAATACTTCTTTTTAGCTTTCTGAAATACAGAATAAATTACTGCTATATTACCCTACTATGCAACAGCATACCAGAAATCCTAACTATCTAAATATAGGTGAACTTTCCCCTAATCCTGCCTCCCCTGCTCCAGTAACCACCTCTCTATCCTCAACTTCTATGAGACTGAACTTTTTAGCTTCCACATATGGCTAACTATATGCATGACTTGTCTTTGCATGCCTGGCATATTTTGCTTAACATGGTCCATGTTGTCTCAAATGAAAGTATTCCATCTTTTCATGGCTGGATAGTATTCTATTATGTATTTTATTATATGCTATATACATTTATGAAACTATCAAACAACTAACTTATTTCTGTCTATACATCTGAATCTTTTCATAATACTTTATCAGAAGGATACATCAATTTTATCATTTCCTAATTCTTTGGTTTATAATTTGATAGATTATTTACTCAATAGTGAGTAAGTAACTATTATGAGCAGTGAACAGTGCTACAAACACAATTCAAATACTCTAAAGTATTGGTTCTCAAACTTAAGTACCCATCAGAACCATATGCAGAGCTTGCAAAAATGTAGACTGCTGCTCCTTCCAGCTTTCAAGAGTTTCTAATTCAGTATGTGTGTAGTGAGGCCTGAGAATTTCCTTTGTGAAAGGTTAGTAGTGATGCTGACTCTGTGGGTATGGAGCCTTGGAGAGCCAATGCCATAAGGAAAAGGAGCTTCCTATCAAGCAAGAGAGAGAATAGTTACAAGGCAAAATGGTAGGTACTTAGGAGAAAGACAGTAAATATGTTGTAGGCTCATGGAATGGGGCATTCTTACACTACAGATTGGAAGTGGCCAAATGAGTTGAAATGTGAATACATTTTGATGGTAAATTATGAATAGGGAGATGGGGACAAAGAAAGGGTAGAGGGAATCTGGTGACAGTAAGGTAAGAGCAAAAGCAGCCAGAAGGGAGGGATGGGTCATAAGCAGAGTGTGCCTGATAGTCTACAGGCCTGTGATCCTTCAGAAATGGTGCTGATCCTTCTAAAGCAGGTTTTCTTCTCAACACTATTGACCCTGGGGCTGGATAACTCCTTGTGGGGGCTACTCTCGTTGTTATAAGATATTTAGCAAAGTCTCTAGCCTCTGTCTACTAGATGCCAGTAGCACTTAATTCCAAAGGCAATAATAAAAATTGTCTTTAGAAATTGCCAAACGTCCCCAGGGATCCACTGAAAACTACTAGGGTAGAAGCTGCGTGGTAGGGCACTTATTCATAGGCCACAAGAGTCATATGGTGATTTTTCTAAAGCAATTTTCACAGAAGGTAAGTCATTAAAAACATTACTTATATATTAAATTAAGAAAACACAAATAAATACAAACTGGAGAAAAGACAGCATTTTCAACAAATGGTGCTGGTCAAACTGGATAGTGACATGTAGAAAAAAGAAACCAGATAGATCCCTATTGTACTAGTTAAGTTTTCTACTGCTGTGATAAAAACACTGAGTAGGGGCTAGAGAGATGGCTCAGCGGTTAAGAGCACTGACTGCTCTTGCAGAGGACCCGGGTTCGATTCCCAGCACTCACATGGCAGCTATGAACAGCCCTTAACTCCAGTTCAGGGGAATCCGAAGCCCTCTTCTGACCTCCGCGGTACTGCACAACATGGGTGCACTCACATAGATGCAGGCAACACACTCATACACACACACACACAAACACACGAAAAAAAAAAAAAAAAAAAACACTGACTAAAACCAACTTTGGGAGGAAAAGGTTTATTTTATTTTACATCTCCCAGGTCACAGTTTACCACAGAAGGAAGTCAGGGTAAGAACCTGGAGGCATGAGCTGAAGAACAGACCATGGGGGAATACTGCTTACTGGCTTGATTCCCTGGCCTGTGCTCTGTCTGATTTCTTATACAACCCAGTCCCATGTGCCCAGGGGTGGCACCACCAAAACAGTCACTCAACAATCAAGAAAATTCCCCACAGGGGGCTGGAGAGATGGCTCAGTGTTAAGAGCCCTGGCTGTTCTTGCAAAGGACCTAGGTTCGATTCCCAGCACCTACATGGTGGCTAATAACTA